ATGCTCTTGAAGTTCAAATAAATTGCAGTGTTTTCGGAATGAAGCGAAATAATAGTAGTTTTACCTAATGCACACGGGATATGCATTGCCCAAGGAGATCGGTAGGCAGTTCAGTTCGGTTCAATATGCATAGGACGAAATGTGGCTTCCAGTCATTTGAGCGTCCAGATTGTTGTGTTGTTGGCGGGTATTCGTAGCTTCCCACTGCGTATAGTCGATTCCAGCGATCTTTAGTTGGTGGGTCTAGTTGTCTCGATCCTCAGTATATGTTCCCAGCTGGGGTGCTTCTGAAATTAGACAGATGAGACTCAGCGGTCTAGGTCTGGGCTAAGCTGCTATAGGTTAGTATTAATGACCCTGATCCTGACCACTGACACCTGGCGGAATCGTCATAAAACGTAAAATGTTGGCACCCAGCGGATTCACAGAAAATACCTAACAGAAAACGCTGGGCGGAGCACTTCAAAGCACAGCTGCTACAGTACTGTCTTGCTGACCATAGACCAACGATCATTGTGTTCTCAGTCATTCGCGCGGCCTTCGATTCTAATGATAGGACCGTACTATGGAGCTGTTTGTTGAGGAATGGTATACCAGACAAGTATGTCAGTCCTCAAAGAGTTTCATCTTCATGCCTCAGGTCGGATTAGGGCCTATGGCCAGCTTTCACCCCTCTTCGCCGTCTCCAGTGATGTTCGACAAGGCTGCCCTTTATCCCGTTTCCTTTTCAACTTCGCCGTAAAGGATGTTCTGCAGGACGCTTTGTCCGGTCTAGCCTACGGGGGAGTCGAACTCCTCCCAGGGAACAGAGTTCTTGACTTAGAATATGCCGATGACAGCGTCTTGCCGGGTGACAATACACAGGCCGTCCAACAAGCTTTACACCATTTGGCGATAGAGGTGTCCATGTATGGTATGTGCTTTGCACCATCAAAGTGCAAAGTGCTGGTTCAAGACTGGCAGGAGCATTTGCCTGTACTCACCCTCTGTGATGATCAGCTGGAATGGCCGAGAGCTTTAAGTACCTCGGGAGCTTAATTACAGCTGGAGGTTGGGGAAGAGATCAAATCACGAAGAGCGAAAGTTAAAGCAGCTTTTGCCGACCTGCGACACCTGCGGCGCTGCCGTGACATCCGACTGTCCCTTAAGGGAAAGGTGTACATCACCGCGGGCCGTAGTGTTCTGCTTCACGGTTGCGAAAACTGGCCTCTCCGGGCGGAGGATGTTAATGGACTTTCTGTATTTGGCCACTGATGCCTTAGAAGCATTGCTTGTGTCTGGTGGGAACATCGGGTGAGCAATGACNTCGTCGTGTGTTGGGTGTGGATAGTCGTTCTCTAACAGAAGTAATCGCCCCACACCGCCTCTGACGGCTTGATCACCTTTTACGTATGCCTGCCGACCGGATTCCTCACCGTGCTCTTTGCACGTGCCGACCAAGGCTGGAAGAAGCGGAAGTCAGACCATGAAATGGCGTAGAGGTATGAAGAAGCTGGCTTCAGCTTTAGCTTCGGTTGGTGCAGCTCGTCTTCCAGGCCGGGGCCCAAGGGATGAGGATTACCGATGGCTAGAGACTGAGAGATATGGCTGATAATAGATGTCAGTGGCGCGATTATTGAGCGGTTTGTTTGGCGAAACCCCGTTCCTCATAACACAAAATATCTTCACTAAGTGTACGGTGAAACTATCAAACAAAAAATCATGCTTTCATTCATCCGTTTTCCTTGTTCTCTGCCTTCCCTATTTCATGTAATCTTTCTTTCCCCCTCCATAACTTCATTATGGTTGTTTTGTATTGGCACTATGTGAGTAATGGAGGATTTGGTTAAATTTCAAATGTGAATTTGTCGTGTATATAGAAAGTGAAGCGTGAACTGAAAAGCTTGGAAGCACTGGACAGCTGTTTCGACCTGGTTGGGTCTCATCAGCAGTGCGAATCCATCGACCTGACTGGGGATCGAACCCGGGACTTCATGAGCAGAACGCAAGCGTTCTACCCACTAGTTGTCTCCGAGGTGGTAACCTCTTCGGTAGTGTTCTGCGGTATGTTGAATTCTGTGGTTGTAGTGTCAAATTGGCTCGTTTGCTCTGTGGTGTTCTCGGCTGTGATGTATTGAGTAGTAGTTGTCTCCGAGGTGATAACCTCTCCGGTAGTGTTCTCCAGTGTGGTTAATTCTTTGTTTGCGTTACCCTGTTGATATGCCTGTTCAGTGCGTTTGACAATAATTTTTTCACGTTGGAGTTTTCCTTCAGTTTTTGTTTCCATTTCCTGTGTTGAAAAAGCAATAATATTCGGATGCAGAAATGGGTTCTCGCGATTTTCTCTGGTGATTGTTTGCTGTCTTCTCGTAAGTTGTTGCATTGGTTGATTTATGCTTCTTTCCCATTCTGTCCGCTCATGGTTTTTCGGGTTCGGTGCATTATGTGGGTCAATGTCTTCGGGCGTTTTGTTGGGTTGATATGCATCGCATAAAATTCGCATTAGGAATACAAATATCACTTCGCTCTTCATCCTGTTATTTCACGATTTCTGGTGATACCCTCCTGTGTTTTTTATAAGGTATCTTCTCCGGGTTCGCTCGGGTTTTCCTCAACTGTGATTGGCGTGTTTCTTGGACTTTCGTGATTGGTCGTTTAGTTGCCTGATCGTTCTTCGCAAGTGTTAGCCAGCATACTAGTTTGGTTATTGTTGTGTTTTGTTTTTGTATGTCTATCAATGATTTTTCTGTCATGTGCACTCTCAGATTTCAGTGTAACTCTTTTTAATAATCTGTGTAATACCAATTCCAAATAACAATTAGTGCGATTCCGGATCGTTTAGCTGTATGTTTGTGAAAATACAAGGTTGAGGAGGAACGGTATTTGGCATGATTTTATTTAACCAGTAATTAGAAACAACGATCCAGGAAACAGAAATCAAATAACTCTGCGGGAAGGATCAACTTGTTTATTATCATTTAATTCGTCTATGCATGTAGTTTTGCAAAGGGTTATAAAAAGAAAAATGTTCCACGATTTGCGTTTGGACTGGATACTGCCAGGTTGCCCAAGCCACGGTAGGTGAATTTTTTAGAGGAATCCACAATCGGTGCCTTCGGCCAGCCAAAGCCTGACTCGCATTACAGTGGGGCGGTGTGTGAAAACCGCAATCCATTTGGGGCCGGTGTCCAGTTTGTCGGATCATACTCCCTTTGGACGGGGTCAAACGTCCAATCCCTAGACGGGTGCATCACACCATTTCGTGTGTATTTCCTCGATTGTAGCAATATCTTAAATTGTGTGGATGGTGAAAAACTTCTTTCATTACTGCATGGTTCTGGATTTTCCCTTACTACTCTGTTCGCTCAAGGATTATTTCACTGGTAGAACACACTACGCGAAGTTTCTTAATGAAACTTCTGACTCGCTGCAGATCGATTTCGGGCTGTTCCAAGGCGCAATACTATCCCCTTTTCTGTTTTTGGTTTTCGCGACCTACGCATCAACCTGGTGGTCTTATTAACTATATGTATTGCCTCACCATTACTTTCAAATTCCAAAGTGATTTTCGTTGCTCACTGCTTCAACCCAGTTTATTTGCCTCTTCGTATCCCCGTTTATCTAATAACGTCTTTAAATGCAGGTATATCTCATTCTCACCCACCTAAGGCGAACGACTATTTTAACTTAGACATAATTGCTCTTCATTCAATGTTGGCAGCCAGACTACATTCTTCACAAGACCTCGGTGTTTCTATCTCATAAGACTATCTGCGGTTTTCACAAATGGGCTGCCCCTTTTAAGAGATTTGACAATGGTTTCTTTATTCTCCGCTTCTTATCTTTAAAAGTTCCAGTGCATTTACTAATCGGTTTTGTGGATTCTTGTGTTGTCACTCATCTTTACCTGCTAATCTTAAGGTTAAATACTATGCAGTTCTTTGTCAGAGTTTTAAAATGATCTCACGCACAGGTCTTATTCCATACTTACACTTGCTTGATCTTATCACTGATAATCATTTCACTACTTGCGAAAGCATCTATCAGATGTCACTCACCTATTAAGCACCTTAAAGAGTGTCCAATTCGGTAACCCGGTGCTATTATAAACTTGTTTATGCTGGAACCACCGCATCCCGTTTGTCTGTTATCCCGTATGTTTCTAACTTTCATCAATTATTATTTCACCACGAAATCAATTACAGAGAACTGGAAAATGTGCCACAACATATGAACAGAAAAAAATCTGAATAAGGTGTTCATAGATTGTATGGGCATGTTACTTCCCGGTTGCCCTGGTCGAGGAAGGGGGATATACTCGGGGTTCCCACCAAAAGCCTTTGGCTTGAAAGCCAGACCTGCAAGACAACAGGATGGAGCTCAGAGTCCACAGTCCATTGGGGTCTGGTGTCCAGTTCACTAAATTATACGCCTTTCGGACGGGGTCAAACGTCCAAGGTGCCCAATAAACCTTGATGCCCAATCAAGCCGGTGAGCACTGCCGCGACCAGGAAGGTATGCTTGTGGTTCGTACCCCTCTTCTTGGTTGATTTGGAATCAGGAATTTTAGCCAACTCCACAAGGNAGCCCCGGATGTCGGCTTTTCGTCCTCACTTTGGTGGGAAAACACCTCCGCTAAGAGAGGGCAGTGAGTAGGGCTTCCTCAGCAGAGGCTATTTGAGACGCTCGGTCATATAGGAGCATTTTGTGAGGTGTAAGGGAATGGTGATCAGTCACAATTCCAGACACTCACTCCCATCATACTGAGGCTTTCGGAAGCAAATGATGTTCATTTTCACGTTATCACGCTACCTTCTTTTTAGTTCACGACACTACATGACTTTTTGTATATGTCCTTATACGATGGTAAATAGTGTTCATTGAACTGAGGTGAACAAAAGCAATTCCTGTCTTGCCTTGACTTTTCTGTAATCATACTTTTATTCCTCTACGTGATGCACAGTCTGCCTGTCCAAACATTCGATTCTCATTTATACTCTTCTAGACTTCCACTGTTCGGAGCACGAGAGTATTTTGACCTAACGCACATCATCGCATCGACATTTTCATTGGATCGCACTGTCATACGGTTTGCTTTGTGTGTATGTGAATGTCGCAGCAAGAAGCTGGTCCGCGTACCTTTCAAAACAAATTCGGTGAAATCTCAGTAGGGGTTTTACATCAAGGGGGGCTTACCCTAGTGTATCATGTCAACGATTCCGTCAAGAAGTCACACTCGGAGAACTTTTGTGTGGTGNCGGAGCGAACAACGTTCACACTCTTCGGTAAAGCGTTCGTAAGCTATATCTATGGAACTCCGGTGGAAGTTATGGGAGCTCAGCTCTCTCCTGTTTATCCTGGTCCTTTTGCGGTATCTTCTCCTACGTCACACGCCGCACTAACTTTCCTTCCATCAACGAACAAATGCACTGAACCGGTTCCCAGTTCATGCGATCATACTTCCAAGTTGGAGACTGTATTGCGATCGATCCAAGGCGCGGATTCACCGTCATTCAACTATGTGATTGAAAATGTCACTGCAGTGTACCAAAAACTGGGCTCCAGCTGTTCTGTGATCTTTTTCAAATCCTTCGTCAGTCGTGTCTGTGCCTCGATAACTAAGGTCAAGCGATTCGGAAGTTTGTATTCCGTCTCAGTCCCCAATTCGCTTCCAAAACCGGTGGCGTACAAATTAGGGTTCTCTTTTATTGAAGGGGACTCAGCTGGTTTTCGGTCTTCTGCTGAAATGTCCATCCTGGCGGATNAATATATATCTAACATTACTGCAAATTCTTCGGATAACTCGTTGGGTCCCGTAAAATTGTTACTGGCGGGCCCCAAGAGCGCGGGGAAGTCCTCACTTTTGCGTTTTCTGGTGAATCGTTTTGTGACGCAGCCTGCAAACGGACACACTGCTCGACGAATCGCAGTGCTGGATTGTGATATAGGTCAGCCCGAATTTACACCTTGTGGAATGATCAGTTTAACTGTCGTCTCCCATCCAATCATTGGCCCTCCCTTTATGCATCAGATATTGAAAAGCCCCAAACCCGTGTGGTGAGTTTTTTTGCAAATTCTATGAATTACTACATAACTTAACTTTTCATGATCTTCTTAGTGGTTCTCTATCGCCTTTTTCGTAGCTTTTACCTGTCTCCGTTTTTTGGTAACTTCATTTGGGTCCTAGAGTACAGATGTAGATCTAATTCCACAACTAATGACCCTTAATGGCACCTGTAGAACATATGGTGTTACCTTATATAAGTGATTGACTTATCATCATCGTACAGCGAGATACCGTGAAGCGAACTTCGCTGATAGCTTCCAAGCTCACAATGTACACAAAGTAATCGAGGAAGTACAAGATGGTGAGGTGTTGGGCCCAGTTGGAGGCAGGCAAAGAAAGTGAACCTTGATGGTCAACACACAAAGTGCACAATCCAACTGTGAATACATACCTTTTCAAGCATTCTGCTCCTGACCTGATCAGCTAATTGATAACCATTTCAAGCTACTGTCATGCGATAATGATCATTAACGAAACATGACACTATTACATCAACATCAGAAGACATATGTGGGCAGAATTGATATTGGCCATCAATTTTACATGACACTATTAGTTATTAGCAGCTGATTGTATACAGTGTTTGGATGACGCAGCTTTTGTTATTACTTTTCCGCTGCACGTTTTTTCGTTAAGATCCCTCGATACGCTGGAGACTGAGTTACGGTACTAGGTGGGTAGTTAAAACGATGATGTTTCAATAGTGCTGGTGCCATCGATACAAGAAAAGAAATGTGATCAGAATTGATGTTGGTTATCAATTTAGCGTACTCTCATTCAGCTGTAAATGCTTGGGGGTAGGGGACCTCAGAATCAGAGCAGTCGATGGTTAGAGTCACTGAGGAGTAAGTTTTAACGTTCGTCCATTTCATATCTGATTTCATTATTTTGTATTTCTTTATTTTGATAGTGCACTTAGAGTTACACGTTGCTCATTAGCCGAGCAAATGGACCGTCGAAAGACATCAGATAATACCGTCACATACGAGTGAAAGGATAATAGTTTCAGTAGTTTATGTAATTGAGGTTGTATCTGCTGGGCGCTCTATATACTTTACTCGTTGCTTCCACGGTCGAAGGTGGAAATGCAGTAGCAGAGCCGTTCAATCATTACGTGTTATTCATGTGCTTTTCCACCACTCCTTTTCCCTTTTGGCAATAAGCTGGAGTGGAGGAAGTCGGATAGCACAAACGTTTAGCGAAACTTCAGAGGGTTGTTTGCTAATCACCTACAGATGGCTATTATCCAATGGGAAGTAAGCGCCTAAAAAAGAAAGGGAGTGGGTTTTTCGGAATAACCATAGACAACCTAGAACTGTTTTAATACGCTTTTAACCAGTAGATATTTTTAGAATCTAAAAGATATTGGTTCGTTTTTCCAGTGGTTCGGGTTTCCTTGATACTTTTACACTGATCCCTCCTAGAGCGCACTCTTGAAGTGCTGTTATCCCATCCGAGAGGTCCCAAGTCATTTCCCGACTGAAAATCCCCGAGAATGAACACTTTTTTTGTTACACCTAGGTATGATGAACAGCAAACGAGGTGAACCCCATAGTCACGAGGACCTGCTGTTCAGTGGTGGAAACCGGCAACCTAAGCCCCGGGACTTGGAGTGGCGAACCACATAAGGCCCGATAGGTTAGGTTTGGTATTGGACTGGACGACAGCAGAGCTGCCTACCATCAAAGTTGTGTGAGGGTGGCGGAGCGCGAACCTCGGACCATAGGGTCCAAAGCACGCTGGTGACAGCGACTAAAACACTGCGCCACCACCACCCTAATACGTATCGAGATAAAACACTGTGCTGAAGTCAACCCGTTAACACTTGAAAAAGCCGTTGGGAGCATTGTGGATTATCCAGCTATTTTGCGGTGTTTCATTGAAATCGTTCAACAAATAGTGTCACTGGACGTTTAGGTATTCCGCTTGATTGTGTTGTTATACGTGCGCAGTCGTTTACGGTCGCCAGTTACATTTGCGGTGGTGGCTACTGCAAATCCTCCATCAGTTTTGAATCTCATTATTGTATAGTTTACGAGGTTCACTCACTATATTGACCACCACTCTCGCAGCACGCGGCTGAATTGGTTTACTGCCATAAATCCTTTTAAGAAAATCGATCTTGTCATTCCTGCGTCTTAGGGGCAAGATACAGATTAATAACCCGAGCAGTAGTTGTGTTTCAATCATGAAGATCGCACTACAATTGTATGTAGGGAGAACATAAATACACACGGCTGTAGAGAAAGACGACAGCATGAAAACCAGTTGAGAGTACTGAACTTCCAGTGGAAGGAAGAGGCAGAGATATCAGATTCAGATAGTGATAAGGACCGGGAAAGAATGAATACGAAAGGGCTCTGGCAAAGAGTGCAGATCAAGCTGAAAAACTAATGTAAATACTTGTACTGAATCGTACTTGGCTTTTTTCAGACCATCGGCATGCTTTTTTCTGGAACAGCCGATCAAAATAGGGATAGTTGAACCACAGTAATCGGTCAGAACCGCCAAGCGATCAGTACGGTCGACAGCAACTCAGTCAACCAATCATTTGATATGTACATTCTCATATCTTTCTTTTTCCCTATAAATAGCCATGATCTTGGCGTAATAAGTGAATTCCTACACACTTTCAGTTGTGTTCTGTTTCACTACTTTTGGAACAGCTATACAGGCGAGAAGCGTTATCGGAAGATTATCAGTTGAGAATCCGGTATTAAGACAATTCCGCGCGGTTATATCGAATTTATTTTCGAAATCGAAAATGGAATAAAGTAGTAACAGCCATTTGCCGAAGGAAGCAACGCGGACAACATCTAATAACGTATTCAAATGGCTTTCACCGGCTTGCTTTGAACCCTATGGTCCGCGGTTCGCGCTCCGCCACCCCCACACAACTTTGATGGTAGGTAGCTCTGCTGTCGTTTGATCCAATACCACTTAACTTATCGAGCCTTATGTGGTTCACCACTCCAAGTCCCGGGGCTTAGGTTACCGGTTTCCATCACTGAACAGCAGGTTCTCGTGACTATAGGGCTCGCCCCCGTCTGTTGTTCATCACACGAAAATGTATAATAAAAAGATGAGTTGCCTCTAAAACTTTTGTTTTGTGTCTTATTCTTGCCTTGATAAGGATCAGTGAGTTCCAAAAAGGAAGGCAGGTAGATGCTAAAGACTCACGTTTACTTACCACTTGGTGCTATTTCCTCCGAAGAGCAAACATCTCGTTTCGGCGTACAGCGTTGTCCCGTCCCGACGATATTCGCTCTCTCTTTTGTCTAACCAAGTGATGAATCATTTCACCTGGTTTGATTTTACTGTCATGAGATTGCTCTTTATGTAATACCGTCGTTTTTTCACTACCTTCTTACTAGTCAGTGTTTCGTCGGCACGATTACACCATCCGAAAATCCTAACTTTTACCTCAAATGCCTGGACTATGTGTATCAAGCGTATCTAAATTTACCGGGACCTAAGCCTCCGCTTATTGTGAATACTATGGGATGGACGCAAGGTAAGTGTTCCTACAATTTTTATCGTCACAGACATAACAGTTTTCCCATGTAGGCTTTAATTAACATGTTTCCATCTTTTGTTCTTTTATAAGTGTCACTGTAGGATATTGCATAGCGGATTGCGAAAAATCATGAGGTTGAACTGGTATCTTGGTGATATGGAGGCTACTAAAAAAGCACCCAACGCCAACATTGTCGTATAGCATAATACAATGACGAGCACTTTAGTGTCATTTGCCGAGCTCACAGTACCCCGGAGATATGGTGGTTGTAGGTGGTTAGGGAGTGGGCCTGTTTTGAAGGAGGGGTGGGGAGAGGTTGACTTCTGTGGTCCACGCACTGAGTACACAGGCTCACTGTCCGCACGCCTTTGCAAACATGTTGACCTGATAAGAAACGACAGCAAGAAGGCCATTGTTATCGGTTTGCTTCTGTGTCTTTCAGTGTATCCAACCAACTAGATAATCATTTGGATCTTAGCTTAGAGGTCGAGAAACGCGTACTCTACCAAACTGCTCCGTACATTTGTTCGTGCCTCACCTCCACATCATTTCCTCCATATTGGAATAACAACAGCGACTAAGGCTCTGTATAGTAGATAACCACTAGGTACACACAATACATATACTAACTACTGAAGCCTACTAATCTGAATCAACAGAGCAACACGAGTAGCTGACAGGCTCGTTTTCAATTACTTCTTCCTCTGGCTAATACAATTTTATACATATGGAGTAAACAGATGTGCAGCAAATAACCAACAGCATCAACAGTGCCTGGTGCCTGTGAAAAACCGTATGGGTTAATCCAAACATTCACCATCTAAATTGATTGAGCCATTCTTACTTTACTTTACGGCAGCTGGCTCCTGGGAGAGGATAAGCCGGCTTCATGGATATCTCGAATTGCTGCTGCCTACGCTCGGTGATCTGCGGCAAGATCAGCGCATATTGTGATCCAGTTTGACTTCCATTGGCAAACGCCATAGACGGAGCGGAGACCAAGGTTTTGAGTATCCTTTCGCACCGTGTTTAGCCCGGTTTTCAGCTGTCCACCGTGCCGACATCGCCAGTTCGGGCAGGGAGGCGGTGCCAAGACAGCTTTTGTCAGGTCGTTATCGGGCTTGCGAAGAATGTGGCC